CACACACACACACACACACACACACACACACACACACACACCAAAACGCCCTATCGCTCCCGCCTGCTCACTCCCTCCCGATTGCTCCCGCTTGGTTTCTTGACAGGCTGTTGTGTTTTTTTTCTTTTTTCTTTTTAGATGTGGACTATTTCTCAATTTATGCCTGTCATCCTTGCTCAGAGGCCATGCTAATCCCGAAGGATAAGTACGGATTCAGGGTACTAATTTTTGGGGGGGCCCATTTTCCGAAAGTTGGTACCCTGTATCCGTAGCATAACGCACGTGCGTTATATTTGAATAGAACGCACCCCGTGCGTTCTATTCATAATTAACGAACGTGCGTTTTGTTCGGGGGAAGACTGTAGGACCTCGGAACGCACCCAAGCGGCTCAACGCACGATTTTATTTTTTATTTTTTTATTTTTGAAAACATCAAATTTGAATTATCAGACAAACCAGCAGAGGCCGGGGACCTCACAATTCAACCCAGATGTACTATCTGACAGCATCAGTCAGCTTAGCTTACGCTCCGGCTGGACCGCGGACGAACCACATGAACTTATCTCCTCAATTAGATGAATAACTCTCTCGCTTAACCAATTTCATCCCCCGTCGTTTTCACTAAACTGACAATTCTTCCAGCTTGCACTTGAAACCTCTACCTATCTTGCCTAACACGGCGACCAGGTCTAAGCGACCCAGTGGAACTTCAGTTCCTTATTCCGTGTCACTCTCCTAACGGACCACTGCGTCCCAAACAACCGAGTTCCCTGGTTATTCCTATGGCACTCTCTAACCTCCTCCCTACTGACCGAGATGCCCTGGTTCTCTCTAGCCTAATCACCCCCTTCCTCAGCAAGATATCCTCTCTCTCACCGACTTACCCATTCAACCACCTGGACACCACCAAACCCCTTGTAACATGGACCCCTGCTAACTGGTTTCCTATAGCCCAGGTTCTAAAAAAACACCACAGATTTCTCCTCGGCCCTCTCCCACTGTCCGCCTTCCTCCTCCAGTCTGCCCAAATAGCTCTTCTTAGTCCTCTCTTGATCGCGGCTTTAATTTTCAAGTCTGAGAAAGGTCGGGATTCGAATCTGGAGCGGTTTCTGTCAGCCCAAATGACCGCGCAGATTACTGCCCTTACCACTTGGGATACATACGCCCAGCCTTCTTTGCGTGAGTGATTCTCTCCCACAAAACCCAACAAGACCCATTTCTCGTTCCATCCTATTTCACTTCTTCCCATTCGAGTCCAATGATCTTCTCACCACCTCCAGACCCTTCTTGATGTCGGACAGTCCCACCAGAGGTGTTTGGTGGACTCGAATGGCCAAATGCAGCGGGGGCATTCCAAGTGCACCTCCATCCCCCTGCTGCTAAGCCACATCGCCGAAGGAGTAACTAGCAGTGAAAGCATCCACAACAGGCTTGCCTGCTTTAAGTCTGGAATAAGGAGGAGGGTACACCATAACTTCAAAAAGTCATTTTCTTTTCCTTGCAGATCCTCCAGCAGCACTGCACTCCATCTGGAAATCGCAGTACTTGCCGGGTTTCTAAGACCCCCTCTCGTCCTTCTGTACGATGCTCTGACCGAGAAATTCGTCAGATTTGTGCCTCGTATAACGGAGTCCCCTTCTCTACTTGCCTGCCACTGCCACGCTTCTGGATCAATCCTCAACTGTCTCTATGAAACCTTCTCTACCCATGTGGTAGAACTTACTAGGTCCCCCCTGAGGGGGATTCTGTCACTGGCTAATGACTTTTTCCCCCTGCAGAGTCAGTTTTGTTGAACCCTCTGCAGTCTTCCAAGACTGGACCTTCCAAAACCCACTCTTGAGTGATATTTAAAACCTTCCAAATCTCCCCCTCCCCTCCATACCATTTTCCATTGGCAACTAGGTCTACCCCTTCCGGGCCCAGAATTAGACCCCACTTTCGAAGAACACTCCGCCGAAGAACACCTAAATGATCTTTCAGGTTACGCAGACCATGGAGTCTTGGGAGAAGTCCGCTAAGCGATATCCAAGAACCTGTCAGAGGGGACCACAGATCTTGAACTCTTGCAACACCCCTTCTAATCCAGGTTCTCCCAAATGTGTCAGCAGCCCCCCCGACTGCAAATGGTTGCCCATCACCATTCAATATGAACGTGTTTTCAAACAGACTCTACTGCAATACTTCCTCCTTTGTGGCTGAGGGGTCTGTAGATTCAGTCGCTGCTTGAGCCACGCCTTCCTCACAGAGTCTCAAAATTCCGAAGAAAGTTTATTTCGCAGAAAAAAGAATCCACGAAGAAGCACAACCACACATCCTCCGGTCTGCTTAGTTCCCAGTCCGGCATAATAATCCTTTCGGCCAGAAGGATCTAGTCCTCCTTCTTGCCTGCCGGAGCCACTTTCACTAACCAGTGCCTTAACTGTGCTTGGTTCCTCTGTGCTGGGTTGATAAGGCTCAGCCCCCCCTGTTCTTTTGGGTGGCAAACCAGGTCCCAAGCCACTTTTGCAATGAAGCCCTCTTCCGCCTTCGCCTTGGCTTCCAAAGGAAAAGCATGACCAACCTCTTGATGGTTGTGACTGTTGCTGGGTCCAACTCCCTTACTGTATTTACAAACCAGAAGAGAGTAAACAGCGCATCATTAATCACCAATGTCCGCCCGTACAGTGACAGGTGTCACGCCGACCCCCAAACCTTAAACCTTGTGGAAATCTTTTGTTGTTGGATATGACCTTGTACTGAAACCATCAGGTGGGTGCTCACCATCACCCCTAAGAAGCGCTCCCCCTCCTCCAGCACTACCCTCAGCATCCCCCACTCCACCTGCAGCTCCAAACCTTCTGGCAGCAGGTAAGTGGACTTACCCCAGTTCACTTGCGCTTTAGACAGTAATGAGTACAGTAACTCTTACAGGACTGATTTCACTGCCCCCAAAGACTCTGTTGTATTAGCTGAGATAAGGAACAGATCATCTGCCAAGGTCTTGTCCCTGCACTCTCTGTCCTCAACCACTGGTAACCCTCTTATCAAGGGGTGTTTTCGGATCTTGTTGAGCGGCACTTTCAATTGCCAGTGCAACACAAACAACAATGGGGCCAAAGGACAACCTTGGCGGAGCGACCGCGAGAGATGAAAGGGGCTGGATAGATATCCATTCACCTGTATTGCCGATGTTGTAAGTATGTACATGGCTATAACCCATTTGCAGAAACCCGGTCCAAACCCCATCCTCCTTAGTGTGGTTAACATGAAGAACCAACCTACTCTATCATAGGCCATCTCCATATCCAGGAGTAAG